TGTGATTATTTTTTTCAAGTCTTTCCACCATGTTTAACTGATGTGGTTTTGATTTCATATTTACTTCACTCTTTGCTGTTTCTATTTTTTTCCTAATGGTGTTAGATCCTCTATTTGTCTATAGCTTCCCTTTCCATCTAATTCTGTTAATCTTATTTTTAATATTTTTGTTTTATGGATTGCCCTAGGGTTATAGGCTATCTAGGGCAAATTTTGTTAGGATTATTTTGCACTAGGTGTTTACATGGCTTCAGTCCATGTATATGAGGGTGAGAAGAAGGCAGTGATGAGAGATTAGAATGGAGAGATAAGTAGGATTGCAGAGCATAAGGGGCCTCTGATACCCTGTTCAGGACTTTGAATCTGATCTTGCTGGCAGAAAGAGAGCCCTAGTAGGTGTTCAGTTGGAGTGTTTCAGACAGGTTAAAAGAGTTGCAGTAAGGAGATGAGGCTAGAAGCCTGTAAGGCCGTGGACAGGCAGAACAACCAGTTGGCAGGCTGGTGCAATAATAACCTAGGGGAGAAAGCAGAGTCCTGCCCTAAATATTGTCTTTTGTGTCTCCTAGACTAAGTATTACTCCAAGTGCTTACCTGTGATGTAAGAAGCATGGATCCAATGGAAACCATGCTGCCTCCTTCATTGATAATGTCTTACTATGAAAAAAGTCAGCAGAATTAAACAGCATATTTAACTGATGTGGTTGATGGACACTCTGGCACAATCTCCTTATCTTGACATAGGCTGTCACCAAAAAGTTCAGAGCTTAGCAGCTTGTTCATGCACTACACTTGGAGTTGCATTGTCCCAGAGCATAAGCGTTTGTTGTGTAAAATTTTCTTTAGCTTTCATTACGTATGTAATAACAGTAACAGCTGCTAAAATTTGGGGGGGCATTGTTCTAAGCCATTTTGATCTTTATATGTACTATAATTATATTCTAAAAACCCTACATATAGGTACTATAATTATTAGCATTTTACACATGGTGAAACCAAAGCACAAAGATATTTGGTAACTTGTACAAAGTTTTCCAGTTTTTTTTTTTGTGTGTGTGTGTGTGTGTTTTTTTTTTTTTTTTTGTGTGTGTGTGTGTGTGTGTGTGTGTGTGTTTAATATATTTTATTGATTTTTCAGAGAGGAAGAAAGAGGGATAGAGAGTTACCAACATTGATGAGAGAGAATCATCGATCAGTTGCCTCTTGCACACCTCCTACTGAGGATGTGCCCGAAACCAAGGTACATGCCCTTGACCGGAATTGAACCTGGGACCTTTTAGTCCACAGGCCGACGCTCTATCCACTGAGCCAAACTGATTTCGACAGTTTCCCAGTTTTTTTTAATAGCAGATCTGGGATTTACATTCAGACAGTCTGATTCTAGAGCCTTAAGGAAAATGGAATTTTTTATTTGTCTTTTGCATGCTGTGATTCTTCTTTATATATATTTTTTATTACCTGTAATATTTTTGCATATTTGGCAAGATGTTATTTTCATCTTACTCCTGTTTAATATGGGGGTTCTATTGGAACCTCTTTAGCCTGGACATAAAGTGGGTACATTGTGGACCTTCATTCTCTCTCATCTCAGACCTGTGCTGATCTTTCCTTCAGAACCTCAGTGTCAGGCTTCATTCGGATGGATTATACTTTTCCACATTTTGCTTGCTTAACGGGATGTGATTAGCTCTGTTGGGCTGTGGTCAGAAGTAATTGGTGAGTTCCATGGCCTTAGGTCTTTGCTGGAGCAAGACCTAAGGCCATGGAAGTCAATCTCATAGAGACAATTTGGCCAAATCTATCGTTATCACAAGTGCATTTGTTATTTGATATATAAATCCCATTTGGTAGAATTATTCTACGATGAACTTGCACACATGTAAATGACTTTTGCCCAAAGTTATTCATTGAAGCATTGTTCATAATAATGCAGGAACAGGGGACAGTTATAGTACATCCACATGTGGGAAGGCTGTGTCATTGTAAGGAAGAGTGAGGAAGTGTTCTATGTGCTGATATGGAAAGCTCTGAGCTTTAATGGGAAAAGCAGTCTGCTATATACAGGTGTTTGGCAGTGTGTGCATGTGTGTGTGTGTGCGCGTGTGTGTGTGTGTGTGTGTGTAAATGAACATTCACATATATAGGTTTATATAATACTTATTTTATAAAAAGGAAAGAAAAGAAAGAATATATATTCATAAAGAAACAGTAGAAGGATATAGGGGAAACTTGTAAAATTGATCACAGTTGGAGACCATGAGGGTAATAGGATGGATAAGGATAGGAGTGAGACTTTTCAATATAAATGTTTTCAAAGTCATTAGGTGTTTCAACCACTACCTTTCCTACAAAAAAATGAATGCACACAGGATTTTATTCCTGTGAACAGCCAACTCATGTGCCTCTCCCCAGCCGCTGCCTTCACGCTCCTTCCATTTAGCCGAGGGGAAGGAATTGAAACCTAAATGTGTTATAGCCCTGGTGCTGACCATTCCTGATGGGTGAGGAGAACTTTAAAGGGAGCTTCCCTTCTGTCTCCCTCCTTTTCCTTCAGCATTCCAAGCCTTCCTTCTGACCTAGCAAAACCCTTTATCAGTGGAGTTAATGGCTCAGAGTAAGCGCAGGTTCGCTCCTTTCTCCCAAGCCTTGCGAACCCCAGTGGTGAATCGGACCATCTCCCCGGCTGTGCATCACTAATGGTAGGAAAGGCAGGTTTCAGCACACAGCTTTCCACATCCTTTTCCCCCTGGGCCATCTCCTCCCTCTCTCCCTCCAAAGTAGAAGGTCATAGTGCAGCTTTTCAGACAAAGTCATTCACTTTTTTCTGCTTACGGGCGGGTGGGTATGTTTGGAAGTTGAATAGCAAACACAGGTTTCTGGGTTGTTTTGCTCTTTTTGCTGACTGGTATTTAAGAAAACGAAGGCATTACGTTGTAATTCTTTTATAAGTTTTTAGTTCAAAAGACTTTGTGATCTGGCTTGTCACAGAATTTTAGAAAATTTTGACATTTTTATGAATATCTTTATTACTTAAGTGCACTTACCTGCAGCAGCTAATGATCAAGACAATGATAGTAAGCTGCTTTAACAAACCACTCAATGAAGAAGCGAAGATCGTTCTAATTGGCACAGCAAACCAATGTCTCTGAATGGTTTAATAGTTATTTTATTATGCAGGCGAAGCTTCTTTCTGCACCTTTGCATAGTACAACCTGTTTTCACAATGCAGTAACAAAATCGGCAGTTAATCCTAACCAGTGAAGAGAGTCCAAATTCATTTGTTTTTAAAAAATTTTTTTAAATATATTTTTTATTGATTGCAGAGAGGAAGGGAGAAGGAAAGATAGAATTATCAATGATGAAAGAGAATCAGCTGCCTCTGCATGCCTCCCACTGGGATCAAGCCTGCAATCCGGGCAGGTGTCCTTGGCTGGAATCGAACCTGGGACTCCCCAGTCTGAGACTGATGCTGTATCCACTGAGCCAAACCAGTCAGGGCAAATTGGTTTGTTTTTAATTACTTGAAATGTATATATATATATATATATATATATATATAGCAGTTTAGAATTATTTGCCTAGAATACGTGTTGGTAGTTGGCATAATGTATTATGGAGTGAGACCCTGAAGTACAGATATAACAAATGACAGACAGGAGCTGGCAAAGCCTTCACTATTCAGAGGAAGCAGCAAACCCTTTCACACTTTATAAAAATGAGAAAGAAGTTCTAGGTGTTTTTTTCTCTATTTTTCTTCCTTCCCATAACAATTTTTCACCATTTTTGCTGAATGGTTTCTTCTAAACCTTAATTACTTTGGTATATGAAGCTGTGTTATTATCAGTGTAATCATGTCATTATCAATGTAATCTGATTTCTTCCTGAACTCTGGTCTTTGCCCACAAACAATAAATAAAAATGCTCTGGAAAATAAACAGGATGGGCCCATATTTGAAAATATGGATCCTAAAGTTATGTGTTCTGAACTTTCTGTTTTTCGATAAAACAATCCTCCTTGTCACTGTCTATCTTGGAGTTACATTAACAATGTTACCAATATTATCTGAACATTTATTTAAATTAGATTCACATGGAATACTTTTCTTTAAAGTCTGATTTAATTCTTCCACTCTGAAATTAGACTCCTATACAATAAAGCCCAGCAACCAAACGGCAGAATGATCCGTCGGCCAGTAGCTATGGGGTGCACTGACCACCAGGGGGCAGACATTCAATGCAGTGGGAGCCCCACTGGGCTGATGGGGATGTGCGACACTCCCACAGCAGGCCAATGCCTGCAGGGCACACCCCCACAAATCCCATGCATTGGGCCTCTAGTATCCTATCTAATAAAGAGGGGATATGCTAATTGATAGTCACAACCTCACAAAAGCCAATGGCACTCACAACCAAGAAGGAGGAAATATGCTAATTGACTGCCACACCCTCAAAGATGGTGGTGTGCACAGCAATAGAATACCATTTAAAACTTCCAAATATTGCTGAGACCGGTTTGGCTCAGTGGATATAGCGTCGGCCTGCGGACTGAAAGATCCCGGGTTTGATTCCGGTCAAGGGCACATCCCCAGTAGGGGGTGTGCAAGAGGCAGCTGGTCGATGTTTCTCTCTCGTTGACATTTCTAACTCTCTATCCCTCTCAATTCCTTTCTGTGTAAAATCAATAAAATATATATTTAAAAAAATGAAAACTTCCAAATATCTCCTATTTTATTTGCCTGGACACTTGGTTTAACTTACCTTTGACCACCTATAGTAGTCCTTGTGAAGCTCACAAAAGACAGTTGATTTTGTTTCCCAATAATCTGTATGGCACTTCTTCTTTAGGACCTATATATTGTCATCTTTTTAAGCTTTAATGTTGAATGCACATTTCTGTTTTTAATGTTTTGATTAAATTTACAATGTTCTTTGTTATTTTTTCTTTTAGAATGAAAAGAAATGCTGAGAAATAAAACTTTTCTCTACTAATTTGGATATTTATCATGGGTGTTGGGAAGTCTAAAATAGATCCCTGCCCTCTTTCTCTCCCTTTGGGTAAAAGCCACAGTATGGATACAAGTCAGAGATGTCATGAGTCGGATTCCAAGAAATCTGACACCTTCCTGCATGAGGTTGCTGAGCACAGCTGCTCAACAGAGACGCCAGCAGGAGAGCTGGCGGGAGCTGCGGGCCTGGATGGGATGTCTGAAGAGGAGACAGAAGAAGAGGTGTTCTTCAAATTTGTGATATTGCACGCAGAGGATGACACAGATGAAGCTCTCAGAGTCCAGGATCTGCTCCAGAATGACTTTGGCATCAAACCTGGCATCATCTTTGCTGAGATGCCGTGTGGCAGACAGCATTTACAGAATTTAGACGATGCTGTAAATGGGTCTGCATGGACCATCTTGTTGTTGACTGAGAACTTTTTAAGAGATACTTGGTGTAGGTTCCAGTTCTACACGTCCCTCATGAACTCGGTCAACAGGCAGCACAAATACAACTCTGTCATACCCATGCGGCCCCTGAACAGCCCCCTCACCCGGGAAAGGACTCCCTTTGCTCTGCGAACCATCAACGCCCTGGAGGAAGAAAGTCGTGGCTTTCCTACACAAGTGGAAAGAATTTTCCAGGAGTCTGTGTATAAGACCCAGCAAACTATATGGAAAGAGACAAGAAGAATGACACAAAGAGGATTCACTGCCTGAGGTGGAACACAGAACACGTGGCTGGCTCTCAACTTATAAAACAAATGACTTGTCTTCACTTGAGAAAGTAACTTCCAGGACAGGTTTAAATAAAAGAGATCCTATTCTTACAGAAACCTAGAGAGCACAAGGGAAATAAATTTCTGCCAGACAATCAAAGAATTGTGGTACTTCTTGAATTTTCAATAAACTTAAGAATGTCAGTTTCAAAATCTTTGCTGTCACAGTTTTCCTAATTCATGAGTATGACAAAGGATGTTCACAATTCATAGTTCTTGTGTTGAACCTTGAACAAAAACATGCATGATAGACATTTAAAAATATATATAACACTTTCGTTCTGGCCTATGTGGCTCAGTTGGTGGGACTGCCATCCAATACACTGTAAGGTTGCAGTTTTTATTTCTGGTCAGGGCACATACCCAGGTTGCATGTTTGATTCCCAATCGGGGTGCAATGGGAGGCAACTGATTGATGTTCTCTCTTACATCAATGTTTGTTCCTCCCTTCCTCCATCTCTCCCTTCCTTTCTCTGTGAAATCAGTAAGACCATATATCCTCTGGTGAGGATTTAAAAATAACAGCAAATATATATCACTTAATTTTCTTCTCAAAGGAAACACATAAGAATGGCCCCAAAAGATCTGACGACCCTCCCTCTTGAGACACCTCTCATGAATATTGTGATAAAGCATCCCCCCTATTGTCGCCCAGAAATCTGGTTAGCCAGAATATAACATATGGAATGTTGAGTGCTGATGAACATGAAATCAGAAATAGATGTGAGAATGATGGGGCTTTTTTAAAAAAAAAAAAAAATCCAGTTAAATGTATTTTTCTTTTTGCTGGAATTTGCATATTTGAAAGCAAGTCCCACTACTGATTAGCAGTCAGTTGGTCATGTGGTGGATAGACTCCATGGAGCAGGGTTGCGATGTTCCCTGGAGCCTGAAGCTCCTCATGTTGGTCATTTTCTGTAACCAGGACTTTATCTAGTGTCCCACACTCATAGCAACCCAGAAACCCCTAACAGACCTGTCCTGTCCCTCACAGCCCTTCTGACCAGCTGAGATTCAGGGAGAACCATCAGGTACAGACCAGGAGGAGTGGGGTGTGAGCCAGGTCATGTTATAATGTGAGGAGCTCCCAATGGGAGGTCAGGAGGCCTGGGTCTAGTCCAGTCTCTGCCACTGAGGGTGAATGTGACCGTGGGCAAGCTGCTTACCCTCTTTACCTATGAAAGAAAAGGACTGGATTGAAGGGTCTCTAAAGGCCTTGGTTCTCTCCCAGAATGTGAACAACTAGGAACCAGAAAAGGGAACAGCAAAAATAGAATTTTATAATGTGATACATAATATAGTTTAAGGAGGCTTTATGTATATCGTTACAATGAAAGGGGATTCTTATATGTCTATAGTAGTTTTCATGCTGTTTATTATATTTTATAGTCACATAAAAATTATAATATATGCTTACTCAGATTTTTAAAAGTATATTTTTATAGGGACCCTCGAGCAAAGCCATTTTGTCTGATTTTTTCTTTCTCCTTATCCTGCTTCTCTGTGTCTCCTTCTAGTTCGGGGGTCTGCTCACATCTTTGTACAGTCCAACCTCTTCACAGCCAGGAACCAAAATGTTCCCTGAGGAACATTCACCCATAATCTTGCAAGTAAGTCTAGCCTCCTTCTCTACTAGTACTTATTAGGGAGGGGATTATTTTCATTGCATAGTGATATTTTCTTAACCTCAAGTTCCTTCCTATCATAGTAGCTTACTGACTCCTCTTTTTCAATTTTAATAATAAGTATTTTTTTTGCCATGCTGCTTCCTGTATCTCAAATTTCATACACCAACAAAAATCTAATCACCTACTCTTCATAGTACTTGCCAAACTCAGAGCTATTGATGCTGGATGGTTTTCCTTAAATAAATGTTTGTATTCTTTATCCTCGACTAAACTTGATTATTACTAACTCTATTGAAGATTTTGGAAAAGTATTTTCAAAAGAGACATCAATCTGTACTCTTCTATAGAGCAACAGACACAATGTCTCACTCCATTTTGAGTTCAATATTTTTTTATGATGAAAAAGGTTATGTACCGAATAATTGTATCCTGTATGTTGTATCTAACAGTTTTTACAAGAGATTATCTAAATAGCTGGTTGGTGTGGCTTAGTGGTTGAGCATTGACCTACGAGCCAAGAGTTCACCAGTTTGATTCTCGGTCAGGGCACATGCCAGGATTGTTGGCTTGATCCCCAGTAGGAGGTGTGCACAAGGCAGCTGGTCCATGTTTCTTTCTCACTGATGTTTCTATCACTCTATCCCTCTCACTTCTTCTCTCTCTGAAATCAATAAGAACATTTTTTAAAGAAAGTTATCAAAATTGCTAAACTAAGGTTAAAAAGAGGTAAAGGTGTGGGCTAGGTCATGTGTTTGTGTACCCTATACATACGTACACACACACAGATTCAGATTTACACACATACCCATGGGGAAATGCTGGAGAATTGTGCCACATGCTGGAGAGCTTCCGCTGTGAGTACTCCGGGCCTGTTGCCCACCCTGAGCTTTTCAGAAGAATCTGAATTGTGCCTTATGTGTCAATTGGGATTCTTTCAGCTGTCAGAAACAAAACCCAATGCATATGACCTACCCTGTAAAGTAAACTTATCGTCCACCTTAACAAGAGGTCCCCTAACATATGGTGCCTCAGAGGTGCCATTAAAACCCAGCTTCTTACATATAGTATAATAATGCACCTTAAAAGGGAATAAAATTCTAATACATGCTACAACATAGATATAACCATGAAAACACTATGTTAAGTGGGGGGGGGGGGGGAGCCAGACACAAAAGGACAAATATTGTATGTACTTAAAATAGGCAAATTCATTGAGACAGAAGAATAGAGGTGACCAGGGCTGGAGGAGGGAAGAATAGAAAGCCGTATTTAATGGGTACAGAGTTTCTTTTTTGGGGTGATGAAGAAGTTCTGGAAGTGGATAGTGGTGATGGTTGCACAACATTGTGAATGTACTTAATGCCACTGCACTGAATGGTTAAAATGGTAAATTTTTTGTGTATTTTACCACAGTAATTTTAAAACCCCAGATTTTTTCCATATCTTTGCTCAGCCATCCGCAGTGTTGCAGCCAAGTTCCCCTCAGTTGTGCCATGATTGTTCTATTGTCAGGCACCATATACAGACACAACACTGTCTAACCTATTACTAGATGGTGGGAGGGATCCACCCAAGTAAGGAAGACTATTTCATCACTGTTCTATCGAAAGTTGTTTATACAGGTTATAATAATTTGAGCTGATTTTATTATTTTAAAATTCTCTCCACCGGTAGCCAAATGGGTTCCTCCCACCAACCCACTGCCCCATCCCTTCCAATGCTACTGCTGGGAGTTAGCCCATCTGGGTTTGAATCTCACCCTGTCCTCTGTAAAATGTGGTCTTAATTAAGATACCTAGCTTTTCTGAGTCTCAGAGTCCTTATCCAAAAATGAGGATAATGTCTCCCTAGTAAGGTTATTTTGCAGATTAAGTAATACATGAGAAGCATTCAGTAGTGCCTTACACCTAGCTACTATGCCAGTTCTATGCTAGTATAACTATTCCTATTGCCTATGCACATTTAATCTGCTCCATGGGATGGGGGGAAGGGCAAATCTGAGTTTATAACCACTCACACCTCAATTCTTACAACTCTTGCTAGTTGCAGGAAATAGAGTTGAACGAAAAATGCAGGGCCTTGTTTTTAGGTGCAGTACCCATCTGGGCACTGAAAATTGAGAGAAGCAACAGGTGTGTCAGCTGTTCTGGCTGGAGGTAGCCTGGGCCACGGGGATGAAAGAGCATGGCGGGGACTGTGACAAGTTAGGGAGGTGGGGCCATACATTAGGAAAGCAGGGGGGTGAAAGTCCAGGAGTGCCGGCTCTGAAGCAGTTTATGCAAATAGCCCAGGTGTGGATGCCTCTGTTGTTCATTGCTTCTCACACTCAGAAGCTGCAGACAAGTGGAGCATACACGCTGTTGAGTTGGGGTTTGAGGATTTCATTTAACTAAAATTATTTTCTGGGGCTGAGCAACACCTAGATAATTTTGCCTCATTTGGGAACACAGGTTTGATGAATAGTTAGACCGTTCCTTCCCAGGGTGGGCAGTGCGGGTAATGAGAAAAGAACTCATGCCCTTTGCTCCTTCCTGACCTAACTGGATTTCTACCCTGAATTCAAGTTGCTTGCTGGGCTTCATCCCTCCCAGTGAAAGTCATGGCTGTTTTCCATTTCATTCCGTTGCTCTTCACCTTGCAGATCCTAAAGTATGAGTTGGGCCTGGGGGTGGACCCCAAACCTCCTATGTGGGCCTGAGGTGTCAATGTGTGGGGAATAACACAGCCAGTTACAGAAGCAGCCTCCCTGGGTCCTCACATGGACTGCAGCTCATTCTTAAACCCCGAAGCTGGCTGCAGTTGTACATGTTGTTCCAAAGCCCGAAGAAGCCCAATCACTTCATCTCAAGGTGGTAAATATTAAACTCGCATGTAGATGAGGGCTTGCAGAGCAGAGGGGAGAGAGGGCACGGTGCTTTTCATAGACTCATAGGGAAATCTGAGCTGACACCCAAGTTGCTGAGGATTGAGGGTGGCTTAGTATAAATATCCAAATTCAGAATTGTCTGAGTCTATATGCCACACTTCACTGTTGAGTCAGACTGTTTCCTCCTTTAGGGAAAGCCTTTTGGCCCATGCCTGGGTGGGGCTGGCCCAGGGTTGAGAAGCTGTTGCCATAGCTGCATTGCTGGCCAGGGGAGATACAGTGAGTGTATTTATTTGCCTTGGGCAGCCAGCCCTGTGTCTTTCCTCCTCATCACAGTCTTACATTGACAGGTCTTAACGTCACCAGCTGGGTGGGTCACACCCTCTGTACGTGTGGGAAAATCTGAAGGGACAGGAGGAAATTTCAGAAAGCTGCCAAGCACCTAAG